CAGAAGGTTGGAGTTCATTAGACACAAGCCCAGGGAAGCAATCGTCTCATTTGCGGCAGAACCAATTAAGTCCCGGGGGCCTTTGCAGAAGGCCTGGGTAGACGTTGGGCAGGCCGGCCTGCACTTGGTTACTCCAGGGCTGCACACTGAGGCCTGGGTGTTCCTAGCAGGCAGAGAGACTTTCAATGAAATCATTGCCTTCTCCCAAAGCCCACTGCTGACCTGTCTTCCTGCTACTTAAAAAGTTCTGTGAAAGATCGCTGGGGATTTGGATCCCCATCACAGGCCTCTGAGAAGCCTGTTTTATGAGTCCGTTAGTTTGAAACTTGGATTCGCAGAAGAAATGGCCTTTTAATTTTGGGGGGAAGGGGAAGTTGACTGCCATACTCTGTTAAATTCTTTAAAAAATTAATTTATTTAATATTATCTGCTATTATTACGTTTAAATTTGACTAGACAGAGACAGAGAAAAAGGAAAAGTGAGAAAGCAAGCCTCCAGGTCTGGGACTTGAACTGCAGTCAGCCATATAGGAGTCCAGCACCTTAACCACCCATCCACCTACCAGTCCCGTTGCCAAATTCTTAACCCACTGCTTAGAGTGCTGGGGGCAGAAGGACTGTGGCCATTCCACGCCATGAGGCTTAGGGAAGAGTCGAGCAGAGGGGTGCAAGCAGCAGCAGCTCCGGCCCTTTGCCATCCAGGTGCACCGTGGAGTCAGAGTTAGCCAGGAAACCAGAATCACGAAAGCCTGACTGACAGCATGGAACCTTCTCCCAGCCGCTTCTGCTCTCAATGTCCCCAGATTACCACAAGATAATTTTCTTGCATTCCACACAGGGAGTGGCACGAGTTATTTATTTTTATTTTCTTATATCTTATTTATGGAGGTTTACTTTGGACACCAGGGAATGCATCTGAGTGAACTTCAAATATTACCTTATCTTACAAACCAGGCTTTTGATGTTGGCTGTGATCAGAGGCTGCCTTCAGAGTGGCTGCCAAATGAAGATGCGAGTGGACACATGTGTGCATGAGTCTGCTATTTCAAAGCCGCTGGAAAATGACATTCAGGTTAGGTCGGGCACGGCGGAGTCAAAAGGCTAAGCTAATTGGCTCGGCTTAAATGGCAGCTAAGTGGAGTCCGCACTTCAAAATCAGTGGTCCCCAGAAACAGCTGGGCCCGGCAGCGGGCTCGTTAGCTAAAATGTCTATAATTAAAGGAGACCGTAGAGGGACCAAAACTCTGGCGCTCTTCAACCTGCAGTTTTGAGCAGCCAGGAAACTGATCATAGACTTTGAGAGCTTGAATGAAAAAGAGAGGCCCCGTTTGGAGTGAGGGGCTGTTTTGGAAGAAGAGTCTTGACCAGAGGAAATCAACAGAGCCTGCAAAGCTTCTCTGAGCAACTATAAGCTGAAATCTCCCTTTCTGCTCTGGTTACTAGTTGCCTTTCCTGTAGTTCCATCCTTCACCTGCCCTGAGTGTAATGGGATGTGTGGGTGGGAGCGTGGGGGCGCTTGGGAGCTCATTTGTTCCTCCTGCCTTCAATCTGGCAGTGATCTACTTCCTAGCCCCCATCCCACCCCCTGTTTTTCTTCTCCTTTTTCTACCTTATTTGGAGAAAGTGAAATAGGTACAGAAGCCTTACCACTGATTCCATCTGAGAGGGAGGGAAGGAAAGGGAAGAGACTAGAGGAAACTTTAGGGCAGAGTCTTGGAGTGGCTGAGTAGGGGACTCTTCTAGAACTCTTGAAGCCTCACATCATTTATATTATAGTAGAGGCCTTTGGGGCCTTAACGTCTGCCCTTCAAGATGGTCAGGAAGAGTCCTGATGCAGAGCTGTTCATTCACTTATGGAGTCTTTGGAAGAGGAACTGGCCAAGAGAGGGGTGTGGACACAGTCTGGCAGCTCCGGGGTAACTGAAGTCGGACAGACCTACAGAAGACCTAGTCTGTGAGTCTGCCTCTCTTGCCTTCCCAGGGGTTTCCGGTGATAGGGCAATATTCAAGGTGCCTTAGGAAGCACCTGGCATGCCCATAGACAGTGCATATAGAGTAGTAGAGGAGGCCTTTCTAACATTTCCCATTCATTCCTCTAGAATGTCAGGTGACTCCTTGGGCCTTAGGAGTTGGCTTTTCCACTTCAGACCATAAGGAACCTTGGCTCCTTTGGTGGAGGTGGGAGAGGCACCTTCACACGAGGGTGCTGAGTGTAGGTGAGTTAGAGAAACCTGTCCTGGAGCCCCACAGCTGCTCTTACTGGGATCCTGGACCAATCACTACCCTCCAGGCGAGTTCCCAAGTGTGTTTGCCATCTGTAATACATGGTTCATTGAGGTTCTTGTGAAGCTGTCTGATACAGTATCCAACCACAGTAGGAACATGGCACATGGGAGGGGTGGCCTCTAGCTGGAGCCATTTGCCCTGAGTGGAACTCGATGGCTGGTCAAGCCAGGCAGGCTTATGGGAGTCTGGCTTTCTCCTGGGTCTGGTCAGCAGTACCAAGGTGAGAACATTGAATTCTGATAAACTTCAGGAGGCTCTGTAGGTTGTCAGGCTTACACGTCTATCCTCCACCTTCAAGGGCCTGGTTAAGTTCTAAGTCTCAGGGAGTAGGAGGCTGACTGGGAGACTTGTTTCTTAACAGCAATGACTTAACAAGTTAACCCTTCCCACGGTGCTTGCTCTCCATCTCCTTCTGGACTTCTCTGGGGCAGGACTCAAATTTGTAAGTTTTTGCTTTAGATACTGATCTCTCTCTTTTCTCCCTATACCCTCAATGCCATCATTCCTTAGCCAAGATTGGACTCACATGCATCATTGTCCCTTTTGTAGTCCTGTTTTCTGGAAAATGCAGCCACTTACAATTCAGGGGCAACACAGCTAAGGAGCTAGAGGTCGACCAGTTACCCCCCAGGCTGCTCCCTGGGTATTTTTAGGCACTACTAATTTTCACCCACTGCTGATTAGCCAGAGATGTTTTTCTTCCTTCCACCTTAGCATGAGTAAAACACCAGGGAAAGGGAAATAACCAAATACCTAATTTCAATATTTACAGCCTCAAAGTATGATTCATTATGGAAATGTGTGAGCCCTGAGGCTTTTGTGAATAAGTGGCCTCTGGAAGGGAGCATAGTTACACCTTGACCTTTCTTCTGCTCTCAAGAACCAAGTTCTTAAAAAAGAAAGGAAGAAAGAAAGAGAATTATAGCAACTCCAGGTCATGTTTTTGGTGAACACTAGCTAGAATGGAGGCTTTTAAGTTACACGTGTGCACACGTGTGTCTCACACATGAAGAAGGACATTGGGGCCCATACTTCTTCAGATCTTTTGTTCAGAGGTCATCTTCCCAGTAACTTCAATGACAGGACTTCCTCCCACCCCCATTTAAAAATCACAATTTCTAGGGCCTGCTCCCTGGCTTAGTGGTAAAACACTGCTTCAGAGAAACAGGATCTCACATGGTGACCACTGTTCATATACCCAGCCCAGCTAGCCTGAAACAAGGCACACATGTAAGCACCCAAGATCCAATGTTCTGGAGGACTGGAGGAGGGGGTTTGGGGTGTGACCAGACTCTGTGGAGGGTGCTCCTCTTTCACTCTCCTGCACACACACACACACACACACACACACACACACACACTCTCTCTCTCTACTGTGAATAAAGAAAAAAAATCATTCAGTCTCTTGGGCCAGACAGTGGTCTGGTGGTTAAGTAGCTGAGTACCCCATGGCTATGTGGTTTGAGTCCTGGACCTGGTAGCTCAAAAAATAGGCCAAGCGTGTGTGCCCGAAATCTAGAAAGGAAGGAGAAATGGAGGAGAAGGGATTGTGGTATGATCATTCCCCATGTGGGTGGGGAGTGCTTTCCGGCAAATGCATGCACCCTTTGGAAAATTGAAAATAAGGTCTCTGAGGCCAGCAGGGGGCATGGTGGTTAGGACGTCGAACTCCCACATGGCCGATCATGGTTTGAGTCCTGGAGCTAGCAGCTTGCTTTCTCACTTTCTGTCTCTCTGGTGAGTACATGTGCCTATAGCAAACTTAAAATAAATACGTACGTAAGTAAGTAATTCTTATTTAGAAAAATGTAAAATCCACAGCTCTTCTACCTCCCAGGGATTCTCTCTTCCCCCTTCTTGTTGCCACCTTCCACACAACGAGCAGATCATGTGCTCATGTTTGCTCCTTGCCTGTGCCACTCCATTGGGATGTGAATGTCACACAGACAGCTGTTTGGATTTTGTGTCCCCTTCACCATCTACTCTTGCCTTGTACCTGGGAGAAGGTCTGGCACGTAATAGGTACTCATATTTTAATGAACTGCAGAAAGCCACACAGTAAGGGCTTTTCTCTTTACACCCACACCAATCATGTCTCTGATAATGACTTGGTTGGGCTAGTGAGGTTTGGAGCTGGTGGAAGGAAGGAACCGTGGTTTATCAAAAGGAGAAATCTGGAAACAACTGGGAGGTTGATATTGAAGAATTAGCACACCTTCACTAATGCCTGGTTTAGCCTGTGTGTTTGGTCTTTGTCCTGGGGCTCTCTGAAAAACACTGGTTTCCTGATTCAGGGCAGTATGTTGCAGTGGTGGCCAACTGTTGGGAAGGCCAGAGGGGCTCAGGAGTCTCCTGCTGGGAGCACCTGTGAAATAGAGGGGTGAAGACTCACCTTCGTCCAGGTGGCTGGAGTGTGACCCACTTCTAAGACAAGGATTCTGGAGATTAGCTCACTGAACTTTTGAGTTGATGCTCCCGCACCCTAGAGGGAGCCAGGTTTCCTGGGGTGACTGATCGGCAGGATTTGAAGTGTGTGTGGCAGTCTGGTCGTGGATGAATCCTTCTCCTTGGAACAGTGATGACGTCTAGAGACACATGGCATCTCGTGTGTCGCCCTGTCTGTTGGCAGGCTCTCAGAATGGCATGTGTGGGTCAGCCCATGTACCGACAATGTCCTCGTGACCTTGTGGGTTCTGTCTTTCCTTTTTCCTTAGAGATGGAATCCCTCCTTATCGCATGGGGAGTAAGAAGCAGCTCCAGAGAGAAATGCATCGCAGTGTGAAGGCCAATGGCCAAGTGTCTCTACCTCATTTCCCGGTGAGTATGGCCTGGATGGGAGAGGCTGCTGTTGGCTGCCATGTTGAGCCCTGACAAAGGGCTGGGAGGTGTGTGGGGGGATATACGAAAGGTAGGGGAAGGGGAGAGAGGAGAACTGGATGAGGCCTTACGTGGTCCTTTGGGATGTGAGGTTGAACAGAGAGATGCATTTATGAGGTTCAAGGTTGACCTACTTTTGAGTCTTCACATTTTCTGAATTTTACAAAGAAGGTTCTCTCAGAGGAAGAAACTGAGGACAGTGGAGTTTGGGCTATTCTGTTAACATCTGTATCAGAGACACTAGAACAGTGCCTGACACATAATAGATGCTCAGCAAAGAGTAGAGTGCATAAATGAGAAAATCCGAGGAGGAAAGTCACATCCCTGGGACATTCTGTTACTTGTGTTGACCACACCGTGGTCATCAGTCACCCACTGATCTGTTTACATGGCCTTTCCTCGTACTGTCTTCTGAAGCCCTGGAGGGCAGCTGTTCTGTCTCATCTATTTCTGAGAACCTGGCTTAGCACCTGCTGTTGACCATGTGTCTTAACAAATGCTGAATGAGGGACCAGCAGTTAGCATAATGGCTATGTCGCTGGACTCCCATGTAGTCGACTGCGGTTCGTGTCCTGGACCCGGTGGCTTAAAACTCACGCCAGGCGTGTGTGCGTGCATGCCCAAGATCCCAAGAAGAGAATGGAGGAGAAGGGATTGCGGCGTGGCCATCCCCCCTGGGGGGTGATTTCTCGCTTTCTTTCTCTCTGTCTCTCTCTCTGTCTGGCGAGCGCACATGCCCTATAGCAAAAACCTCTCAAAAAACAACAACAACAAAAAACAAATGCTGAATGAATGAAGTGTTTGGAAGTGAAGATCCTGTGGGCAGCTTCTTCTTGCGATTGATTGGTGGCTGAAGGGCTTTTCTGGAATCTCTTCTTTTTTCCCCTGTGGAAACAGGTAGCGCGTGCCTCCCTGCTCCCATACTCAGAGGTGCCCCTCCCTTCCCTGTCTGCATCTCCATCTCAGGGCTGTGTCTCTTAACAGCCTGAAAGCCAGGTAGTTCTTCCTCCAGGAGGGGAACGGCATGCAGCTTGCAGCAGCTATGAATCCTTCCTGCCAGCCTCAGAAAATCCATCGGTCTGTCTGGTTATGTTGCATTTAGAAAATTAATGCATCGAATTGTTAATCCCAAATTCCATGAGTACACGGATTGTATGCCTTCTCTGAAAGCTCCTCGCACAAGGGCAGACTTACCTTGTCTTGAAATTAGCATATTAAGATCGCTTCTCTGGGTACCTCCAGCATCACCCCCTGGCCCCCATACAATAGTATTGATGACATAGAGTTGTTTATTCTTCCCAACTGGGGATATGTGTGTTAACAAAGAAGAGTTCTATGGCCCAGGCTTGTAAATTAGCTGATTTTGTCCTGGGGTGTGCAAATCGACTTTCCCCATCAGGCAGCGCTTTGATGGGGGCTGCGCACAGCTAGTCTGTGTGAGGACGGTCATCTTGCACACGGGGCCCTCTCCCCTCTGGCTGGCAGGGAGCTGGGCCGCCCTGGCGAGGCCCGACGAGGTGCCGACCTGTGCAGGTTGGCTTTCTGCTTCCCCTGCCCCACCCAAAGACAAGGTGAGAGCCCAGCGATGAGGAAAAAGGAGGCAGCACCACTGGTGGGGTGGGGGGCTGGGTGGGGGGCCAGATGACAGAGAGGACAGAAAGCTGGGCAGCGGGGGTGCTCTCTGTTTGCTGCTTTTGGCAGGCGTTCTCGGTGCCTTTTTATATTCTGCACTTGATTTGGAGATGTTCCCTTTTCCCTTGATAGATCGGCTTCAGGCAGCCGAGCTCAGCAGTGTTCTGCTACTAGCCTGCAGCAGCTTTCTTCATTTTCTGTACAAAGAGATGGGGAGGAGGGGAGGAGAAAAACGAGGGAGCTCGAGGACAGTGTTGAGACAACACCACCTCAAAGGTGCGCAGTGTGCGGCCAGGAAATAAATTACCACTTCTTCTCTGATCTGGGGCCGCTTGACTCCCTCCCCCACCTCCTTTCCAATCTTATTTTTTTAAATTTCCAACTCCCTTTCTGTTTAGACTCTACTTTTTATTCCTTAAGTTGGTCCCTCTCCCCTCCCCACCTCAGAGGGCTGCCTTTTTTTTTCTTTCTCTCTCTCTCCTTTCGTTTTTTTTTTGATGTTTGACAACAGTCTTTGAAGATTTTCTACTTCAGAGTAGCTACTGATGGGCTGGTTGTACTACAGAGAGAACAAGCAGGGCCTCTCGGAGTGCGACCAACTGCTCCAGCCCACGGCAAACGCTGGTGGGGACCATGGCTCTCCATGAGTCCGCGGCGCCAAAGCATAAAAACCCTGTGCAGCCCGGGCCACCCCGCCATCCGCCTTCCACTCAAACATGGGGACACGTCGTGCATCCCTGGGCCCGGGCAGCTCTGGGTAAGTGGCTGCTGCAGGCCTGGCCTGCTAAAGGTGCTCGTCCCTTGCCTCCACATCTGTAGAGAACCCACCGCCTGCCCAAGGAGATGACCCCCGTGGACCCCGCCACCTTTGCGGCCGAGCTGATCTCGAGGCTGGGGAAGCTGAAGCTGGAGCTGGGGAGCCGGCACAGG